AAGCAAATTAAAAATTGTTGTATGCAAGTTATTTTTGTTGTTTAATTACCGAGATGTTTGTTCTTTTGTTCTCTGAAAATTGAGAAGCTTAAGACAAAGACTAATTCAGAGCAATGGTGACCACGTTGGCAATGGCAGCTGCGTTAAGTATAGCGTATTATCACTTGATTTCTTGTACAACACAGGAAGTTCAGTGTTTGTAAGTAAGACAAAATATTAACTCTTACAGTGCGTTTGGAGCACGGGATAAACAGTAGGATAGGACAAAATTTTTGTCTCATCCCACTGTATCCCATGTTTGGTGTGGTTACAGGATGGGACAACTGTTTACCCGTATTTTATCCCATCCTAAACTCCTTTCATAAAAGATATCCCACCTTCCACATGGCATTGGATGGGATAAAATCTGATTTTACTTTTTTACCCCTTTATATCCCCCATGATTCTCTACCCTTTTTCTTAAGAGCAATGCTAGTGGCACTCGCCTCCTGCACTGTCCGGCCAACACTTTCTCTTTTATTGGGCCACGTTATTTTGGTTTCCGAGAGGTTACGCTGAAAGCTTTAAAGAAGCTTACGTGGCCCAATGAGAGAGGAAGTGTTGGCCGGAGAGTGCAAAAAGCGAGTGCCCCTAGCACTGCTTTTTTCTTAATATTTTTTTGGCCAACGCCTTTTCAGAGCACCGACGATAGCATGCCGGTCGCCAGAATCCATCTTCTCCGTGAGTAGCTAAACGAATCGATGCTTCTCCCTTCCCTTCACGTCGGTTCAGCACCACGACGACTAACAGTCCCATGAATGGGAGACCATGGCTAGAGCCTGGCTTTTTCCAGCTTTGCACGTTCCCCGAGGCAGAAGACATGAGCGTCAACCATCGACTTCCCTTGAACTTCAACTTTTTTTTAGTATCAGTTTTGTGCCCTGACTGATTGGGTTGCATGAAAACAATGAAAATTTTTTGTTACAGTTAATTACAATTTTGTTGTAATTAATGTGTAATTAATTAACTTATAAAAAAAATGAGTAATTAATTAATAATTATTATAATTTTTTTTGACAAAAATGACTAATGATAATTATCTCAATTTTTTTATCTTATAATTATCTCAATTAATTTCACTATTAAATGTTATTATGATTAATGGTAAATAAATAAAATAAATTTTTATTAGATTTCATTATAATATAAGGGTAATTTTGTCCATATAAATAAATTTTTTTGTCTAATCTTATTTTAATCCAATAATCAACCAAACATTTCCTAGGACTTTAATATATAATCTCATATCTAATCTAATCCAATCTTATCCTTAAATTTTATTTAATCCAATCCAATCTTTTATTCCAAACGAGGCCTTAAATGATAAAGTGTGCACTCATTTTTTAAGGATCCCACTATTTTTTTGTTTTAGTATTAAT